CACCTGGACCTCTGCTGTAGTCGCCCTGGATTACAGCATAGTAGCGGGTTGCTTGCTGCGGCATGATGTACGTAGGCTCGATAAGCGACTCTGCTCTGCGAAAGGACTCCGCGTCATACACACTGCCATGTGGAACAACCTGAGAGGAACAGGGCAATGGAAGAGTGATAGTGATTGACAATGTGTCACTGCTTTCTCTCTCAGTTAAAAGAATTCAACTGCACATACTCGTACATGTATAAAATGTGTACGCTTGTAAATCAACTTCAGGAGCTGAATATGTTTCTTGTCAGTCACTGAAATGTCCCCATCGAAACTACATGACACTCAAGTGCCTGTCAATCTGAAGTGATGAAGTCTCAGATAATTAAAATGCGATTGACATCATTGTGGATATACCCTCACTCTCTCATCTCAAGGGTACTAGAGGTTTGGGACTGAGTTGAGTGTATCATGTGCGTGTGTGTGTGTGTGTGTGTGTGTGTGTGTGTGTGTGTGTGTGTGTGTGTGTGTGTGTGTGTGTGTGTGTGTGTGTGTGTGTGTGTGTGTGTGTGTGCAGTGCTCAGTCCTACCTTGAGAGAGTAGTTTCCAAGATCCATGCGTGATGCCACGCCCTGTGTTAGGTAGAGACCATCAGCTAGGCTGAACAAGGCATGTCTTCTATCGTCATCCAGGGCTGTTTCGTCAAAGATTATCCAGTCTGTACAGTATGTACATGGAGCAAACAGTGAGCAAACAGTGAGCAAACAGTGAGCAAACAGTGAGCAAACACAATGGTAAAAGGCTCAATAATTATTGACAGCTGGAGATTTTCTTGGCAAGAATGTTGGGAATTGCGCCAGCGTAATGTTGATGTCCGCATTGTCCAGGTACAGGTAGCAATGATCAATTACACGGGAGGTGACTGTCAATGATTGTTGATCTATTATTTCCACACATGTTCCAAGTCCCGTGTGTATGATTGTGTCAGCGCGCTCCAAGTTAGTTATATAAATAATCGGCACTCACCCACAGGCCTGTCATATCCAAGGAGGGCATGGTAGACAAATATCCAGAACTGGCTGGGCGGTAATGGCTGTGCATAGCGATACCAGCAGCCGAAGAACACTTCCAACTGGCCCGTCCGACTGCGATCCGGTATCATGGCGCATTCGCCACCTCGGTACGGCACCGCGGTGTTGATTACGAACCCATGCCGGTGCCCTGTGCTGCTGGTGATGTTGAAGATATCGCCTTGTTTCATGTAGACCGTCTCCTCGATGCCTGTACGCGACGGTAAGTCAATGGTGATGTTGTGCTTGGGGAACATGATCCTGGTCACCTCGTGCTCACTGTAGGCGTTGAGTGCGATGAGCGGTGTTTTGGGCTCGGTCGGCGGCTTGGCGTCCGGGATGTGAGGAATGCTCATCAGGCGCGGTGGGAACTGCGCTGAGCCAATGTGGCCTTGGATGGTGACGAAGTGCCGCTTGCCGCCCAGCAGTTTGATGAAAATGGGCGGCAGAAGAGACTCCACTTTCTTGAACTGGTAGACATCGGCCGCCATGCCGTGCGGTATTACCTGGACAAAAGCATGAAGTGTACGGCAAACGTGTTCAAACACAATCATACCCGCCACTTTCATATTCAGTATTGTACTATAGTTGCAATGAAATACTTCCGCATAAAGCACCCCAATAACTCAGAAGAGAGGTGGACGGTTTTAATAAGATTAAAGTACCCCAGATATAACATACTATTTCTCGTAGGGGTGTTTTGAGGACCCTGCATAACGTAGGGGTGTTTTGAGGACCCTGCATAACGTAGGGGTGTTTTGAGGACCCTGCATAACGCTACACCAGTCATTTCAACTAGGATATACAGTACTAATATCTCGGCTATAAAGTACAGATTTGCATGGTCCATGGAAGTACTGTACTACCACTAGGTACAAGTTATACTGAAGAGCTACAATGTTGTAAACATTTTACCACAGCTTAAAATTCCCCAAGACGTTTACGGATAACTTTAGAGTTCGCCATTTCATGGTACATCGGAAAGCATTGAGATGTGAAGTGAGAGTTTTAAGAGGAGTGTATAGAACGAGACAATAACTGGGTGTTTTTAACCGGTTGGATTTTGGACTTTACTTTCTGTAAACTTGATGTGACGGGTTTGACGGCAATAGAAGCTCGGCACTCTGGCGCACAACATTAATTTTGTATGATTGATCACTTTGGTTGCTACAACTCCAGTTGATGGGCTCACCTTCAGTTCATAGCTGCCCTCTGGCAGTAATGCCTCCTGGCCTTTGTGCAGTGAGATGTTGCGTGCTATCCTGTGCAGGCTGTACTCTTTTCTGTACTTGCTAGCGTCGAATAGCATCACATCTGTGCAAGGCAGTGGTACAAATGGACACGCAGACATGTATACACGCAAACACACAAACACACACACACCATGTACCACACACACACGCACGCACACACGCACACACACACACACACACACACACACACACACACACACACACACACACACACACACACACCATGTACCACACACATACACACACACGCCATGTACCACACACACACACACACACACCATGTACCACACACATACACACACACCATGTACCACACACATATACACACACCATGTACCACACACATACATACATACACACAAACACACACCACACACAAACACACACCACACACAAACACACACACTACACACAAACACACACAAACACACACACACACACACACACACACACACACACAAACACACACACCACACACAAACACACACCACACACAAACACACACCACACACAAACACACACACACACACACCACACACAAACACACACCACACACAAACACACACACACACACACACACACACACAAACACACACCACACACAAACACACACCACACACAAACACACACCACACACAAACACACACACACACACACAAACACACACAAACACACACACACACACACAAACAGATGCATACACTCACATGTACAGTCACACACGGCACACCACATGCATGCGTTGAAACCCATACACATTCAGATTCTTGTGCAACTGCAATTAGATTTACACAGCTGAGCCAAACACAATTTGAGTCATCGCTAGACTGCATGTGTGTGGTGTGGGAGTGTGCATATGTGCAAACAAGCGCGTGTGTGTCTGTGTGTATGTTTACCTAAGAACTGTGACCACCCTACTCAAGGAGATGTTTTCTTTCTAGCTGGCGTAACTTGGAGTTCAAAATCAGTTTGTCGCCACTGCATTTATGATGTGAACAGCTTCCAGGACTAGTTGTTGGCATGAAACAGAGCAGTGAATGATTGTGAGAAGTGAAGGTGACAATATGGGCTCATTTCGTGTATTTGCATTTTCTTGTTCTTTTTAGTGATGTTTAAGATCATACTTGGAAATGCTACCAACCTCTATTCTGTATCACCTATGTTGCTATTATGCCGGATGAGCCTCAGGAAATGATCCTGTTACAGTTTTGAATGGTGGCAATTGCATTGTGGGTGATTTACACCCAATCAAGCAGGATATGAAGGATATGATGCTTGATATTGTCCAAGCCACAATAGGCATGCCATCCAGGAAGCCCCATAACTGTGCATGCAACTGCATGATGACAAAGCCAGGTCACCCCGGGGTCACTGGCATCGCGCCGTGTTCGGCATTCCCAGGTGAAAAACGTGATGCAGTACTGCCCTTTCATGTGAGCATCCTCAGCAATAATGAAGTACACCACATGACCGTGGTGTGTATCACAGATTCGCAGATCTTGTTCCCATCATTTTCGGGATGCTCTGGGAAGAATGAGAAGCCATATCCATGCAACAACATCAAGTAGTGATCGTGGCTATCTCCAACACTACACACGTGACCACTCAGCTGCTGAGTTTCACTACATGATTGCAATAAATAGCTACTAAAATTATACCATGGCATGATCTGCTGTGCATGTGGTAACAGACTCGATCGGGACACTCTACCACATATCAGGCCTGTACACTGGTTCTACTGATGTAGTACTACTAGAATACTGCACGTGTCCTTGTAACATTACATGACTTGTAGTTGTACCTACCAGTATCTGTTTACCATGGTTACAGTGCCAACGTCTTCCCAGTGAGATTTGTTACCATGGTTACGCTTGACGTGAAAAAGTCTACTTTTCACAACTACAAAACTGCCGTATGTCTTACCTACTCCGCGAAGAGGCTTGTCTCGGTTATTGGACAGCAGTGCATTGTAGACCATGAGCCAGGAATGCCGCACGCTGAACGTCACGTCCAGGTCATAGATAGTAATGGACGAGTGCAGTGTCCTGCCTCGCGTCTGATCCGGTACAATGAACACCTCGGCATTGTCGGGAATGTGTAGGATCTTATCGCGAACTGTCTGAGAAAACCGCTCTGTGGTGGGAGAGGATGAATGTGGCATTCACATGTGCGCGCACAAACACACACAAACAAACACAAACACACAGTTTTCAGGCATGATTTGGGTCGGTGCCAACAGTTAGTACATCTGCGTTTGCAGCACTAAGCGGGCTTTGCACCCCAATTCCATGAACGCAGATGGGAGTGAACCTTTCTTACGAAAAGAAGTTAGAAGATGTCTTCCGGTTTCTTGCACTTTCATTGGTGCGTGGGAAGTGACCATGTGCCAGAACGGCTGTGATCATGTACCAGAACGGCTGTTAGTAAAGCCTTTAAAACGAAAATGGTTCGGATTTGCAGTGTATTTTTAAAGAGTTGGCGTGTCTAACGAAATCACTTTCCTGCACGCCTAAAAGAAGATAAGGAATAGACCTCATAGGAGAATGTTGTGGCTGGAAGAAAGGACAGCCAGAAGGGACAGTGGTTGTCTTGAGACTGAGCGAGGCACCTTGGCCAGTGAATGGGTGACAGGGAGAGGATGTGTGGGGCGCGCCGGCAGCACCATTACTAGCCACTAGAACGTTCATTCAGAAAGTGGTGGACATCACGCAACTGCATTGTAAATAAAAGGGGGTTTGTCAACTGACAACCGCTCTATTCCCCCTTTTATTTACAACGTTCATGTAGATCATTTTAAAATTAACCTCTACTTCTTGATCACTCAGCTGTTCAGGCACTATACTAACGCTAGCCTTGTCCCCCATGATCCGGTCAGCAGTGTGGTAAGGATTTCCACTACAGACTCAGCACGTGTAAAGCACACTGTTGTACGGTTGTCCCACTGCGCCCAGAAAACATGACCGGAATAGGGCGGAATGCCGGTGGTGGTGTGGTAGTATGACAGGTGGCGATGAAGGCACTTTCTAGCAAAGTGGCCGTACCCTGACTTGGACCTGCAGCTGATGAACTGGACAAGACTTGGGAAAAGACTGAGTATGGCGGCTGATTATTTCCAGTTGTGAGTAGACCGATAGTGTGTGTGCACCCGCGTACCCGCCATTATCGCCCTGCGCAATCACCGGCAGTAGTTAGCATTGGTAACACCGTGTATTGGCGGAGAGGGTCTGCTCAATACCTGTACCAATAAAGCGGCCAATTTTAATGCTTTGTACCTACTTTCTGCCTACTTCAACGTGTATCTACTACCTGCTCGAGCAAGCAGCAGATGCTTTGTGGTTCGAGTTTCGCGCCCTACACAGTTCTGCGTGCCCACGCGTTTATGCGTGTGTATATCGTGTGTGTGCGCGCGTGTGTGCGTGTGTGTGTGTGCGTGTGTGTGTGCGTGTGTGTGTGTGTGTGCGTGTGTGTGTGTGTGTGTGTGTGTGTGTGTGCGTGTGTATGTGTGCGTGTGTATGTGTGCGCGCATGTGTGTACCTGTAGGCTGTAACAGTTATGCGTGCACACGTCCTTTTCTTTGCTCTCCAAAACACCTGGCAATTCGCGTCAGAAAGAGAAATGGAAGCACACAATGGAAATGCTGCGGCACGATGAGGAGAGAGTGCGCATTATGAAGCTGGACAAGATCGTGATGATCCCGGCTAGCTCTTACGAGGTACATGGAGCATGTAGTGGAAACGTACGAGCACAATGCTCTGAATGGGAAAGTGTAGTGTAGCATCAACACTTGAACAGCGTTCTCTTCTTCGTCATCCTGCTGCTGCCTCGTACATGTACTTCGCGTCTCCTCACTGAGGTACTTGTGCCGGTATTACTTTCGGTCTCCGAGAAAGTACTGTAGCTAAGTGCTGGTTAGCTAAGTGCTGGTACAGTGTACAGTGTACAATGTACTGTGTATGTACTGGGTTATTGTCATGACTGTGGTACCATGATGACTATGCTATTGTGTGTCCATGGGCATTGATTTCTGACTGTGAGTGTCATGCGACTACAGTGTGAGAACTTAACTACTTACTTACTGGCATTTAAAAAGGCCTAGAGTACACATTTTAGTACTCCCTTTTATGCAAGTACACACGTGCATGTATCAGGAAAGCCGATCTCCCTGGCCTGAATTAGCAGAACGTAACGGCGTTGGTTCCTAAATGCCCTTCTCCATATTCCGCACCGGTATACCGGGTATCCAGCACTATGAGATGACTACCATCATGAAAATCAGCAGAATGCCCCGTACATTGACAGCGGGAGACAGAACAAAATTGCCTAGAAAACATGATAAGCGTCCAGCTTCTGTGTTCATCACCGACCTGGCACGCTGGAGTCTGGCCCAGGTAGTGCAGTCATGTAGGTTATCAAGTGTGTGGTATACGATGGCCACCTACCGGTAGTACCTGGAAAGCACCAGACTTGCGCTATGAAACGCAATACCCGTGTGTACTGCGAGGAACTCTTCAGCATAGACAGAAGTCAGGATACAAGCCGCTCTTGAAGCTTGTTCAGTTCTCATTATCACAATATCAGTGTCGCCACGAACACAGACAGTGCGAGGGGGCTGTGTGATCACTGTGGTCCAGGCCAGGATGCAACAACACACTGAACAGACTTCGAGGCCGATCCCAGGGTTACTCAGAGTCAACGGATCACACGTCCACGCAAGTGCTGTCTGGTACTGTAGCCGCATGACAACACATGCTACATGCTAGTTAGATCAACAAGGAAAAACACGCGATGGGTCCGGTGCCAAAACTTGCCAGATGTAATGGGACCTTCCACTTCGTTGATACTAGAAGTTGCCGTTGGATTAGCGATGCCCACAGCCATATTTTAAAAGCACATGAGGGGTTTAGGGGGGAGAAGGCCAACTGGGCCTGTGGCTGTGGAGCCACACGTGGACGTCTTCTACTTCAATACGTGTATTTCCTGCTGGTTGATACGCCGTTACGCGCAATGATGTCGCTAATTATGTTAGAGACTGAACGACAGGTGGTGCTTTGCTTGGATCAGTTTTGACACTGCCCTGAGCGTCATTACCTCGTCGAGTATTTGCCAGTGCGTGTGCGCAGCTGTAACTGTTCTCCTCCCAGTGGATGTGTACTGGTTGTAGACGCTTGCAACGCAGGAACAAAACAGCATGATATTCCACTGGTACGGGTACTGCAGTACTGGGGTCTACATGATGTAGTGTGGCAATGTGTGGTAGGACTTGTTCATGGCACATCACTGATTACCAGGTCCTGCACAATAGGGCCATCTGCATCCGTCATCTCGGGCTGACCTGTTCCGTGTTGGAGTCAACTATGTGATCATTGACCTGTACTGAATAACCTCTGCACCTGCAACTCCCGGTGGCCCCCCAGAAGTCACCACTACCATCTAGGCTCCGCTTCAACACAATTGATTTGCAACAAGGTAGGCCCTGGATTCGCAGATTTCTCAATGCCAAGTGCACACCAGCCCGTCTGACCTGACCTTGGTGCTGCAATTTCAGGACCCGCCAATCTGCGTATCGACCTGTCACGGCTTGGTTACGTGAATTGCTCCAGAAGAAGCAATCCAGCACGGGGCAGCCAGACTACGAGCAAAACCTGCAATCGCTACAAGAACTGCTGTCACAGAATCATACAATCTGCGCCTAATGGTACCATTTGTCCCGTGGTGAGGATGCGTAGTGGCGACGGAATTGCCGAGAGCAGAACAAGTCCCATCACATGACCCGGCTGCTAGACTAGAACATACATGTACATGTAGTATACTACAATCATGCATTACTTGTTACGTGTAGCATTAGTAGAGTAGAGTAGAGTAGAGTAGAGTAGAGTAGAGTGTAGAGTAGAGTAGAGAGGAGGGGAGAGGAGAGGAGAAGAGCATGGAGTGCCAGCAGCAGCAGGAAGGCAGCCTTGAGTTGTTGCTTGTGCTGCGGAAGTCCTGGAGTGCTAGGACACGCCGGTCGTTCACCGCCAGCACAATAGCCCAATACCTATTTACATGATAGTGCTAGCAGAGTGCGACACACTGCCTCTGTTCTGTCGATCCTCGTCATCCTTGTTGATCACGTGATCATCTCATCTCAGTGGAAACTAGTTAAAAAAGGAATTGGTAGGCAGTCGGCGGCGCGGCGCGGCGCGGTGAATATTTAAAAAGGTGTAAGCATACACTTCACTACAGACCACGGTGACCACGGTGATCTCTTCTCCTCTTGAGCAGCAGCAGCAGCAGCACTATGCACCACCACTAGTCCACAACTACTCTTACACTGTAACAAGTGATGACAAGATGATCTGCGACTGCACTATACCCCATGAATGTCCGACTGATGATCACAGTTTGGTCAATCCATGCAGATCAGGGATGATACGCTTCCTGCACTCTTCTGTGCCTTAGCTATTTCTAATCGGCTCCAGCGACATTGGCCTTCCGCCAAGCATCACAAATAGCTGCATGCATCTCCTCCTAGTTCTGCGGTGAAGCACCACATCAAGCTGGCTGCACATATCCACTGCCACTGCACTGTGTACATGTGTGGGGCATTTGCTTCAGGCGTTGATCGATGAACACTGGTTGCGGCGCCCGCGGAGCTGAACAGCGATTTTCCGCTTTCTTGACGATCGAGCTCCTGCTCTTGGATGCGATCAGATCCGTTTGCACTTGCCACGCCAATGATGGCAGTTTAATACCTATAAAAGCCATTGTGTAAATGTAGGAGAAACGGCGTCCTTTGTGGTCCTGCCCTTTTGCAGCATCCAGTTGTTGAATACAAGTCGTGTCTCTGTGTGTTGGTGCAATGCTACACTCGTGGCATGCACTGAGCGTTGTCTCGGAGATGGAGCTGAGGTGAGTAAGGAGGAAGCGAGTACTACAACAGCACAAGATAACGGCGAGTGCTGGGCGTTCTCCTGTGCCTGTGCTGGCGGTGAATAAGGCGATCGTGTAACACGCCCAGTAGTGCTAGTAGTAGTGACCAGGCTCGAGTATTAGAAGCATAGTGCAATCATGTACACACTACTACACTAGCGTTCGGTACAGTGACACTCATATCATTAGTCATAATGGCCTAATCCCTGCGTGCCCTTGCTAAGCCATTCAAATGGGCTGGAACGAGTTCAATCTTGACAGGATGGTGGGAACCGCCAAGTGTTCCACTGAGACATCGTCCATCACTACACAGCACATAGCACATAGCCTTGCATATACACCTAGCCGTGTAGCCGTGTTGACCGGGTGAACTGTGGATCTTGGTCGATCAGGCACACCTCACGCTATTGTACAGGCATATTGACACTGTGGTGCACGTCATCTGATCATGTGAATATCTTCATGTCAAAGTACGGGGTACCTGCAGCGAGCGGGGAAACCTCACACAATGTGTGAGTACATGTCCATGGAGATCACAATCATCATGACTTTCATGATGATTGTGATCTCCATGGACATGTACTGCAATGTGCACTCGTCGCTATTTCATTGTACATGTACTACTTTACAAGATGCTCTAACTACATTGTATACTAGCACTAGCTCCTGTGCTGTGCCGACGAAAAACAATCCTTACGTGAACCATAGAATGGGTCACAGTACTATTTTTCCTTATTTCGGCAAGTACTGGTATGGCACTGTACTTCGTCTTGGGGGTGAGACGTGGGGAAACTGCCGTACATTGGATCGACCTCTTCGTTCACGCAGCATGCAACAGACCTCCACGAGTCAGACAGCTATAGTATACACTGGTATAGGGGGTCATTGTACATTGTAGTGGTTGAAGAAGAGCTTGCTCGGTAGATCTACGTGTACGTACTTGTGAACCCGTCTGCCTCAAGTCATGAAAGATACAATAGCAGTACGCAAAAGGCTTGGATCGGCAGGAAGGCTGTCTTCAACGTAACTAGGATTAGAGGTCGGCACCATGCTCTGTGAGGCATCTCCAGTCTCGACTCCACAACTGTCCTGGGGGCAGTATGGTACCTCCGTACCGTCCTTCCTGCCACGACTGGAAAACCTCACAGTGACGTAACAATCATGACTGTACTACAGTGCTGGCAACTGAAATCCGACCCCCCGGGCGGCGCGGCGCGCCGGCCAGGGGGTCGGATTTCAGTTGCCAGCACTGTAGTGTAGTACATATCAACATCATTGTGTGTCCTCTGTAATGTGCACTCGTACTCTGACCCTATGGCCTAGCTCAGGTTATTCGCCAGCACCTGAGCCGAATGGCAGAATAGTGCAGAACTAGAAATGGTCACCACACGTGAGCGCCCGCGCCTCACGCGTACGCCACGGTTACGGATGATCGACTGAGTCGTAGATCTACCAATGACCTTATGTATTGTTGCACTGAGCCTTGTCCATGTACAGGGTCATCCATGACGTCACATGATCAGCTGATAGTGTGATAATGTGTATGATCATGATGTAGTAACGTTACGATGTACTGACTGTTCTTACACGAATCAATACCTACCCGATACAACGAGTGTATGTAGCGGCGAGGCAGGAACATAGCCTGCAAGGCATGGCCATTGTTGTAATGTGTTCCTAGACACGATCTAGGTGATATGCGAACGGACGGCGGATGTGGTCGGCGAAGACTCAATGACGAGGATGATGATGCTCCTCCGCTTCCAATCCTCCCGATGTCCCATGCAGAAACCGTCTCGGCTCCAGACCCAAGTAACACGTCATCAATGTTATTTAGTCACTGTGGACATGAATGGCATCATCAGTGAGGACAAGGACAGTTTTCATTTTAGGAAACAACAACCTATGCAAGAACTGTGTTGACTATGAGTACGAACAAGTGTTAGGCGCTCGGTTCCACACTGACCACAGACACACGGTTACCTGGTCATAGTTCATCATCCTTGGTTCACCTCTCCAGAACACACAGTGTCTTACAGTGTCCAGTGTACCACATGACGATCTTCTGATGTTGTGAAGCTCAACTCAAGGCAGGCCCATGATTCTACTGTACACGTCGTACTAGGCGAATGAGGGTGTCTTTAAACTTTATCCTTGACGCACATGTGCACACCGCGCTTCACGTAGATCTACCATGTGCGTGCTGCATGTGTAGTGTGAAGCATCTCCTCCACAATGACCCCACGAGGGCACGTCGATTCTTCGAGCAATTCCGTGTTTTTTCTCTTGAGTTTTGGTGGCACGATTTCCATACAGATTGCGCTGCCAGGATTCTGCTAGGAACGCTCGAGCAGATGCAAATGTGCTAGCAACACACTGCCTAGTATCATCTTCAATGAAGTGAAGGAAATCAAGTCGTGTCCATCCACTCCAAGGATCCCTTCGGGCTCAAGGACATGTTTCAGTATTGTTTACTGACTGTCACGTACTCGCAGCCCAGTTCTCTACACGAAACTGAAGAGGTCTCTCCAACATACGACTCTAACGAGGCCTGTCATTGCACAGATTGAGGGGGGGGGGCATTGTTGCTAACACAGCTCATGCAGTGACACTGACACCTTCTGTAGCCCTCAGCTCGTAGCCATACTATGTATGGCGATTGGCGAGGCGAGGGACGAGGCAAAGAGGCTGATTTTCTTCACAACTTAACAGGCGTTTCTTGCTAACGAACTTAGACCGTCATAATGCCACTCCTGGATTGATCACTCTCCATCAAGTTATCCTACTTAGACGCCCATCCAGCTAGCTAGGCCAGTCTTGCCTGCTCGGACTAGTCGTAATGCTGGAATACCACATTCATGCTACATTCAATTGTCCCTGTTTTTCACGCTTTTTAAAGCTTTCCACACCTTTCAGGTGTCCTGTATTGGCTTGCTAGACCATACTGCAATCTACCGCTACCCGTGACTGCTAACTCTGGGCTCTACTACTCCTAAATTCTATTTTTTCATTGTCCATGTATGTGGATATCCTCTGATGGTAGCAGTCAGCGCAGTGCACTTGGACATTCTTCTCCGATCTAATAGGGGAACGGAGTGCTTGACAGGTTGAAGTTGATTTCAGCAGTTCTCAATGCGGATAGCACAGTTGTTGTTCGACCGCTATCCAGTCGTCTGCGCTCAGTCTACCATGTTTGCTAGCGCTCAGTCTAGCATGTTTGCTAGCGCTACTCCTAATAGAGTTAGTAACTTGAAGCTCGGTGCTAGCTATGGACGATTATGCCGTTGGCCATGTGCAGCTGGAGAAGGGAACATGAGAAAGAGCGGGGATAGGCCATGTTCCAGTGCATGGGGCGACCGGCGATACGATGGCCTTCTCATGCCAGACCTCCGCCCCTGGGATCTGCGGCAAGACCTCACGCAGAGAGAGGAAAACCGAGAAACGCTGACGCACTCCACAATAAAACTATTTTCTGTTGTTTGTTGTTGCGTATGTACTGGTTTCGCTGTGTACAGTGCACAATCCCGGCCCTGGCATCAGGCATCATGTTTGTAGGCCGCCGCCGTCTTTATACTTCACTTCTTGGACTAGCCAGAATCTGAGTGGTACGAACGAGGCCCTGTACACATGGATTGGGAGATGAGCCCTGCTATTAGAGAATTCTTTTCAGAAAACTCCAAAGCTTTGTGGATTCATACTTTCAGAAGTCAGAACGTGTGGATCTGGCTCCACGTTACGTCGGATAAGGAACATTCACATTGACACGCAGGATCAAAGCAAGACAGTTCCCTGTCAATAGTAGATGGGGCCTGAGGCCCGAGTGAGGGTAACATCTTGTCTGCATGTCTGCAGTCTACTTCAAGCAGTAAGAATAGCGAAAGACACTGTACGACGGCGTACTGATGCATACATTACAATGACGTAATGTTACAACGACTACATTGACTGCATGATTGTACACATCCTCCTGCGATGTACACACGTACACGCAGGTGCCTTCCATGAACCGTTCATGTTTGTTTGCCTGCCGATCTCTAGCCTATGTGTAATAGCAGTACTAGTACTACTACTAGTACTGACACAGTGTAAGAAATGCAGGACTGGCAGGAGAGCTATCTGGGAGGTTCCTATGGCAGAGCACATAATTATCCCAATCGTTTGCATGCTGCTGATTTCAGAAACGGTGTCCAATCATATGCTGGTACATGTCGAGTGCATGTGGCAGGTGCGATCCCATAATGACATGGAACGTATACGGGAGATTTCTCCCTTCAGAAGTCACTCTTGTCAGTAATTTGTTGCCAACAACGAATGGCTGTCATCATTTTTGTCAATCAACGCATACTATTCAGGACCGCAGAGCCATTTCGAAATGTCGTTTTGCATGTATCGGCACGAACGCGATCAAAGCTCGTTGCAGGCAGATGCTCCTAACTGTATCATGTGTGAGGTGTAAAACGGTACATGGACAGGGAGTTCTGATACATTCTTGACGTGCCCCATGATTAGACCTCTTATCTACTACGTGTACTACACTACAGTAGTTACACTACACTGTACACAGATTCGGAGGAGTCCTGAGCTGATGCAGTGATCATGGTGATGGGCTCCAGTAGACTCTTTTTAAAAGCATGCCTGTAAAATGCACATCATCGCAGAGTACTGAGACACATGTAATAGCATGATGGTCCCTTACCCTTGCCACTGGACACGGTCAGGACGTCCTCCAGATCCAGTCCGCACAGTGTCTCCCGGGACTGGCCGTAAGGAATGCGCTCCTCTCTCACTCCCCCGGTCGTGCCAGCGCCAGTCAACGTCACATTCAGCACGTCCATGCTCGGGAATGCGTTCTGGATGACGAAGCGCACCTTGGGGCGGAGTGACGGATGGTCTAGATATCCTCTGCTGGTGCGCTTGGGAAGAGGGTGCTCAGCTTTACCCTTTGGTTGGTCTCGTCCAGATGATCCGCGTTTGTGGCGCTGTTGGCCTCTCTCCCGTCGCGAATGCTTGTGTAATCTTACGCGGCTCTGCAGGTTTCTGGGAAGCACACTGTCCACGAGTTGCAGTAGGTTTGTTTCGGCGTGAATGAGAGCCTCCTGTTGCCTTGGGTCCTTTACACCGTCATCCCTCCGTACCAGAGTGTGGTCCAGGTCACGAGCACCGCAGCACTGTGTAATGGTAGCCATGAGTAGAATGGAGAACGTCGTCAGCGACCAGTGATGCCTTAGCCCTGCAGCCCGCAGTAGCATACTCCCTCTGCCACTCAGACCTTTCCAGGTCGAGCCCGGGTCCGACACTAGCACTGCTACTTGAATGAAAAACGGAGGAGGAAGAATACCCCTTCCACTGGCACGCATGACTACACAGAGAGTGACCGCCAACCCACCACGTAGATCGACGTCCCTAGAACTTCAATAGAAGCAATCAGTGCTGCCTGTGCACTCGCGTATTTCGACCAGTCGACACAGGTACTAGTCTTCACTTTGTTTCCATAGTATGCTTCAAGCTGCACTACGTTCCAGCACACACAGGCATGAGCGGGATAATGAGAATAATACTTAGAGTCGCTTTCGCTTATAACTGATATAAGCGAAAACACAGTCCTCCAATGCCAGTACAGGACTTCAAGTTCAACAGGACCAGGATGGAAATATAGCAGCACGGACGTCCCCTCGCTCTCGTTGCACTGTGCGGTGCAAATTGCAAATGTGTGACCGCTTTACGTGGAGATGTGAAGAAAAGAGGTCGTGAACGCATCGCCGTGCGAATGGCACTGGTACTGCTGGTACTAGAACTACCTGCTATGATGACTCCACTATACACTATACACTACAGTCTCCAGTCGAACCTAGCCATGAGCGGCGTACATACTACATGCCTGGATGATACTACATAGTGCAAATTGCTAATACCAGCATACCGGCCGTACTCTCCTATCCCATCCTAACATTATGGTTATGCCGCGCAGTAGTCCTGGGCCAGCTGGGTGGCCTTCTCCACGATGCTCCACGGGGCTCTCTGCGGTAGTATGGCCGCCAATGAGGACCAGTCAAGTGCCGGCGCCGCTGTTGCCTCTGCTGCTCCTTATACTGCATTACATCCTATCCTGTCCGCACACCAGTGTAATAATGCCATGTGCAGTCTCAATGGCTGGTTATTTCCATGACTTGCTCGGTCGCGCACATTGCCCGAGTGCAGTATTCCCGGATGGTCTGTTCGGTAGACTGCTTATGTAGAAACTTAGAAACTTAGAAAGTGCAGGGCATGTGGGGGTACTATTCCGGAGTGCTGGGCAGGTGGGGGTACTATTCCGGAGTTTCTGATGCTAATAACGTTAGTGGTGCCTGGTCACTATGCGATACAATACTCAATAGTGCAGTGTGAAATGTGAAGTGAGTGAATACAGGTATGGCATCCACATTATCAACGAACACTTGTGGGTGCTTTTAAAATACACCTTTACAAGTCTTGAAACACTACCGTAGATGACTCAAATAGTCGTCACGTACTGATCCATGTCGTGGGGTATCTGGGCCGCCTGAAGTCGACTTTAAGCTGGCAGTCAGTACAGTCATGGATCATTCCCATTCGCACTGCTATTGGTGGTGGTAATGAATATGTAATTGCTGCCTGTCCAATCCATTGCTGTGCTAAGCTGTGCAGTGCTGCGATGGCCGTCATAATTTGGTCTTCCTCAGCGAATCACCAGCGCACCGGCCCCGACGAACAAGACCAGGTGAAGCAGCAAGCAGCACTCTCATAGACACCACAGGCCGCAACGGAAACGACTTCAAACAAGTCAACGGACTAGGCTAATGCATACTGACATGGCCATAGAGCCTAGAGGAACATCAATACATCATGGATGTTTTCCTACAATTCTAGTTGAGGAAATGGAAAAGGGAAAACTCTAATAGGCGTAATAGCATTAATTTTCTTGGCGTTCGTTGGCCGTATAGCGTTAGAACTGGCATGTGTCGGCACTTGCATGGGTATGGTAATAAACCTTTACTCGGAGAGTGCAATGCGTATGTAGTTGACACTTTCCACTCTATCACTATAATCACCAAGATCAAGAGTACATAGCGGCCCCTGGGGGTTATGTACTCGAGGCATCACCCATTGTCCAGCAGTACATAACACTACGTCCAGCAGTACATAACACTGCAAAGCTCACTTGGCGGACGAGGTCGATCTAGAACAAGCTGCAAGGTCGAAGCAGCGAGCTGTCCGAAGATTAAAGTAACCCTGCTGCTGGCCTGGTATTACATGTACATGTACATTATGACTGTACATTGTATCCTCTGTTGGTGCGACTAACATCAAACTTTGTGAAAATTAATGACTCAATCAGTAATGCATGCTCTCGCACCTGATCAACGCTCACATTGCCAGTACTTCGAAGTACATGTAATGTGTCCCAGTCTGACTGACTCGCGTGAGATTCTTTTTCTTCTTCTTGTTTTACTGTGGAACTCCCAACAGGCGTCGACGCTTTTTACAGAGAACCCTAGGAATAGTTTGATGGATGAGCGAAATTCAACTAGTGTAGACATGAGCGAAATTCAACTGGTGTAGACATGCGGCAAGCCGGACTTCCTTACATGCTGCTAGAGTGGAACTTCCCCTTCCCCTAAAGGCCTGTCCTGAGTGTCCTCTCAAATACGAAAATCTCCAGAGGCGGGATAGTTGTTGTCAGTGACTGATTCTGTGATCAGGACGATTATTATTATTATCTTGATTTGGTGTTGGGCTGACTGCTCAGCGTTCTTTTTCTCTCTCTCTCCCTTTCTCTCCTGTCTCTCTTCTTCATCCTTCTACTCTACCTATCTCTGTCAACGCTTATCCTTGTGAGAAATGCCAGCCTGTAGCATGCTGGCTCGTAGTTCACCGACCCTCGCTAAAGCGAGAATTGCAACGTTCAATGTACGCGGCCTAACTTCAAATGTCAAGAAACAACAGCTAGCGAAAGACCTATTGTCCTACAGAGTGGACGTCTGCGGCCTCCAGGAGCTAAAAATTGCTGAGCCGTTTGACAGGTATATCGACGACGGATACAGGCTTGTGGGCTTTGGCCAGGACGCGGGTCACCACGGAGGAATTGGATTCGCCGTGTCGAAATATTTCAACGAATTCCTGAGAAAACATAAAAAGCTGTCGGACCGAGTCGGCTACGCTGACTTCTCGCTGCCCGCAAAGAGCTCCTCAGAGACCTCTGTCGATGTGAGATTCGTTGTGGCGTATGGACCCACAGCCCCGTCGGCAGACAAGACCCCATCGCTGAGAGAAGATTTCTACGACTGCCTCTCTAAAGCATGGAATACTCCCAACAGCCGAACTCTGGTGTTTGGTTTGGGCGATTTTAACAGCAAAGTCGGCACCAGCAAGACGCCCTGCATTGGTCTATACGGTAAAGGAGTGCGGAATAACAACGGCCAGGCGCTAGTTCAGTGGGCAAATTCGTGGGAAATTGTCCTTGCCAACACCCTTTTCCGTTATTCCATGCGCTACAGGACAACGTGGACTGGCTCAGTCACAAACAGAGATACTGGTGTAATCAGCAGAGTATACAATATGATTGATTTTATCGCAGTACCGGCTCGCTGCAGGCCCCTTATCAAACGTGCTCGCTCGTATGCAGGGACACTGACATCAAGCGACCATAAAATTGTCATCGCGGACATGGATTTCCAACGATTGTTCAAAGCTTATCGCTCAAACCCAAAAACAAAGAGGTCCGTTGGTCCATTGGCTGTACGGAGGCTTTCGTCGGACGCCACGGTGAGGCAAGACTACAAAGCAAAACTCAAAGAAAGCGTTTCCATCAGCCATACCAACCCTTGCTCAGAAGAAACTCATAAACATTCTCCATCTCAGAAATGGTCCAGCGCAGTGATTGGCACCCTGAAAGCGGCAGAGAGCAGTGTTGGCCATATGCACAGATCCACATCCGGGAGGTTAACTCTGCCCAACCAGGAAGTGGCACGCCTATCGGAGCAGCAGCGGGAGGTTCGGCTTCTTGCAGAGTCGGGTCGCCACTCCTTGGCAGAGCTAAAGAGGCAGCGGAACCAGATACAGCACAAGATCCGTTCCATTCAGCGGGCGGATGCCAATGAACGCCTCGACAGACTGGCAGAGAAGGTGGAGCAGGCACCTGACTCAGCACAGATGTTCCTTGCTGCTTCGGCCATGAAAAGTGGATCTCAGCCATCCAGTATCATGGTCAGCTCTGCTGATGGCCACATTTTGGCTTCAGATAAGCAGAAGGCAGAGCGCGTCACGGAGCACTTCAAGGATCTATTCTGTAGAGATCAATCAGCTGCTATCCAGAAGCCAGTCCCTCACCGGCTAAGTGTGGCAGTGTCTCCAGCGGAGGTGGAAACAGCGATGAAACGACTCAAAAACGGAAAGGCTTGTGGGCCGGACAAAGTCCCTGGAGAATTACTGAAGTATGGAACATCACAGCTATCCATCGTAGCGGCAGACATCATCAACCAAAGCGTAGCAGAGGGTGCCGACATGTCATCGTTCATCGGACTTGGCACACTGATTCCCTTACAAAAACCAAAAAAACCTAGAGGACCCGTGACTAGCCTGCGTCCCATTGTCCTCCTGAACACCATCCGAAAAGTTTTCTCCCTTGTAGTGCTCTGCCGAATCGCAAAGGACGTTGCTCGTTATGTTGGTCCAACTCAATCTGGCTTCAGACAAGGCCGAAGTACAACAGATGTGGTATGGACACAGCGATGGATTGCGGCCAAGGCGACTCGATACAACTGGGAATGCCACATGCTGGGGATTGACATGTCCCGTGCGTTCGACACGATCGATCGCACCAAACTGTTAGACGTCATGGCATTAGTGACTGGCCCCGATGAAGTGCGCATGATCCAGCACCTACTGTTCCACACACAAATATCAGTGAAAGTAGGAAAGGCAACTGCCAATCCGTTTCTCAGCACCATCGGCACCCCCCAGGGAGATGGCTTGAGCCCTGTTCTTTTTATTTGTTACCTGGAGGCAGCACTGCGCCAAGTGAGAGCAAACCTTCCCGAACGCCCTTTCGCCGACCGTCACATACCCGGAGAAACAGGTTACGCCGATGATGTGACATTGTACTCAACCAGTGAGGAGTGGCTGAAGCGAAGCCTCCCCATCATTAGCGCAGAACTCGGGGATTGGTCCCTTACAGTAAACGAGACCAAGACCGAATTCTTGCATCTGACATCAACTTCAGACTCCTGGCGGTCCAGCAGGCAGCTAGGGTCCCTCATTGGCGACAGTGAGGACCTGGAGCGGAGGAAAGACCTCGCTTCGAGTGCATACGGCAGGATGTATAGCCTCTGGCTGAGGCGTGGGAAGGTCAGTGAGCAGAGGCGCATCCGCCTGTATAATGCCCTGGTTCTGCCCGTTCTTTTGTATAACTGCGGCGCATGGGGGCTCACGGCAGCACAAGCAGAATCGCTTAACGTTTTCCACCGGAAGCAGCTCCGACGGCTCATTGGCATAGTCTACCCAGCCAGGATGTCAAATACTGAGCTGTATGAGAGGTGCAACACGGAACCACTATCTGACATCGTGGACAGGAGAAGATGGCAGCTAACCGGCCATATTCTCCGTATGGACAGGGATGCGCCGCCATGGATCGCGCTGACGGGCTATTTTGCGGGAGATGCCAAGGCTGGGCGTGGACGTCCAAGGACATCCATTGCGACGCGCATCACAAGCGACTTACAGAGGAGGAACATCGACTTGAAGCGCAGCAGTCAGCTGGGGAATGTGAGGG